GGGGGGGGGGTGTGTCTCTCAGGGGGCAGGGAGTGGTTGGATGGGGCGTGGGAGTCCTGGGGGTCTGTCTGGGGGTGGGGGTGTGGATAAGGGTTGGAGCACCCAGGGAACAGGTAGGGGGTAGGGTCTTAGGGGGGGCAGATAGGGTGGGGGGGGTCTCAGGAGGGGACAGTCAAGGGACAAGGAGCAGGGAGGCTTAGGTAGGGGATGGGGTCCTGGAGGGCAGGTAGGGGCAGGGGTCCCAGGAGGGGGCAGCAAGGGGACAAAGAGTGGGGGGGGGTTGGATGTTCTGAGGGGGGTGGGAAGTGGGAGGGAGTGGATGTGGGTGGGGCTCTCCCCCCGTTCTATTTTTTGATTGTTGAAATATGGTAATCCTAAAAAAGCGGTGCCCTGGCTCGGCAGGGAGGAGCCGCCTTCCAGAGGCACCGGAGAGCCAGAGCATCGGCTTGTGGGGGTGGCGAGCCCCAGCCATTGAGGAGCCGGTGCGGCACAGGGGGGCAGCAGCCCTGAAAAGGTGGCGGCACCACTAGCGGGGAGCAGCGGCGCCCCCTGCCCTCCTGCCCAGGCTGTGGCCCGGCGCGCCCCCCCGGGGGCTCCTGCAGGCTGCAGCAGTTGCATGTGGTCAGTGGCCCCCATGCGCCCTCCAGTTCCCCCCTCGCTGTGCTCGGGCTCTATGGCTCCCAGGCATGTGAGCTACCAGGGTGCAGGGCCCTGAGCCTACTCTGGGAGGGGCAGCGGCAGTGGAGGCTCACACTCCTGGGAGCCGCAGAGCCCAAGCGTGGCAGCGGGGAGCCGGGAGGCGCACGGGGGCTGCCACCCGCATGCATCCACTGCAGGAGCCGCCGGGGGGGTGTGCCAGGTGCGTTGCAGCCCGACCAGGCGCACCCCAGGACTTACCCCTCACCGCGCTCGGGTTCTGTGGCTCCTGGGCATGTGAGCCGCTGCTGGACCTCCCGGAGCAGGCTCATGCCCGGGAGCCGCAGAGCCTGAGCATGGCGAGGAGGAAGCCAGGGGGCGCATGTGGGGCCTGCATCCACTGCAGCCTGTAGGAGCTCCTGGGGGGGGTGCCCGGCCGCAGCCTGGGCAGGAGGGGCAGGGGGCGTGGCTGCTCCCCGCTAGCCGTGCCACCACTTTTGCAGGGCTGCTGTCCCCCTGTGCCGCGCCGGCTCCTCCATGGCTGGGGCTCGCCGCCCCCGCAAGCCGATGCTCTGGCTCTCCGGTGCCTCCAGAAGGTGGCTCCTCCCTGCCGAACTGCTGCAGCGGCCCAAGCCTGGCAAAGCCAGTGAGTGGACTCGGGGCGGGGACCGCCGGGGTGGGGTGGGGTGGGGAGGGCTCGTGGGGGGGCTGTGCACCCTGCAGGGGAGTTCAGGGAGCAGGGAGAGGGGAACCTGGTCTGGGGAGCAGCACCTGGGCACGGCTGGCCCCTGGGGTCTATAAAGGCTCATTGGGATTTGCCCCTCAATGAACCAATGCGCAAGGTGGAAGTTTGGCCTAGGGCGCAAAATATCCTTGTACCGGCCCTGAGTGTCCTATAATTGGACAGCAATAAACCTCTAGAAGGGGATCTGAACTAATCAGTGGACCAGCTGAAGAGCTGGGGCCAGAAGGGCCCAGAGAGGGCAAAACCATTGCCTCCAGCAAGGAAGCCCTGGGGGTAAGGCCTGATACCAGGGCTGGGACTGTTTAGAGACTGCAGACACACCCAACCAGAAGGGGCACTTGCCGTTACACAGGCTCCCAGGCCAGTGTCTCTCTGGGCCAAGTACACTGATGGTTCAAGTAACACACGGGGCATGATTCTCATTTGCACCGAGGCCCCTTACTGCTCTGGCTGTGTAACGGGCCCTTTCAATGGGTGTATGTTACCTTTACATGCACTGTAAGGCCCAGTAAAGGGGCTTCAGTGTAAATGAGAATCTGGCCCACTGGATGTTAGTGGGGGGAGTAGGGAAGGTGTGTTGCTCGTATATTCAGTGGGTGAGCAAGGGGCAAGAGCCAGGGAAAAGCAGCTACCAGTGGGCTGTTATCCAGCAGCCATCCCACCCACCTTCCCTGGTTTGGAGAACTCCCCACAATTTCAGCTTCCCAGACTCTGGCATGGGCGGGATGCTGCTGCCCCTTCACACACACAAATGTGGACCTGGGACCACATTTGTGCTTTCTGCATGCAGTGGCCCTGGCTCCCCACTCACTGCAGGACCCTCTGCAAAACTGCCTCTAACTTCTCACTCCTCTTCCTCTGCTGTGGGCCTTTGGTTAGGACATTCTAACTGTGCAGAAGCTGCCCTTGTTTGCAGTATAGTGTCAGAGGGGTCTTGTTTCACAGAGAGTGCCAACTGGCTGGCAAAGAATGCTAGGCCCAAACCAAAGCACTATTGCTAAAAATGCTATGGCGGATTGAAAGCTGAACCCAGATCACAACTTCACATGTGGCTCCTACCGCTCCAGTGGGCGGAACCAAGCACTTGGACTTGAACCCTGGGGACATTTCATTCTGGGTCCAAACTTTGCAGCTTGCCTTCATCTAGGGTGACCACCCATCCCTAATTGAGCAGGACAGTCCCAAAATGTACATTTCAAGTCCCAGTCCTGGGCTGAACGACTCCAGGACAGCATTTGTCCCCGATTCCCTGTGGCGCTGCTCTGCATCTGTCCAAGGCTCAGGGGTGGTGCCAGCCTCTTCCCGGTGGTGGACTGAGGAGGGCCTTAGCCCCCCTCGCATGAGGCCCCAGCCCCTGCTCCTTCTCTTCCCCCCCCCCAAGGCCCCGCCCCTGGCCAGGCCAGAAGTCACAGCCATGCAATAGTAAGAGCCACCCAGGGAGCCTGGGCCTCTAGGGGGAGCTGTGGATCCTCCACCTGCCCTGGGCAGCAAGCCCTGGGGGGCAGGGACTTCTCTCAGGCACTCCAGGCCCCTGCCCAGGGCAGGTGGAGGGTCCAGAGCTCCCCACAGCGGCCAGGGCTCCTCTTACTACTGCCCAGCTCTGGCTCCTGGCCTGGCTGGGGGTGGGGCATCAGGGGGAAGAGGAAGAGCAGGGTGGGGCCATGGACGGAGGCAGCATGTGTCCCATTTTTGCATTTTGAAAAGGTGGTCACCCTTCCCTCATGTCTACAATGAACCGAACCAAAGGCCAGGATCCAAACATGCCCGAACTCTGCAGCACTTGTAATCCAGATCTAGAGCCATAATTTGCACCTGGGACTCCCCTTCATTTCCTCAACAAAACCTAAGCAGCTGGCCCTTTGGGGAGTGAGGCTCGTAGCTGCTCTGACGGGCTGGAGCATAGGTGGTAATATTACAAGTGAATTCAGCCAGGGGGGTCTTGCCCACATGCTCAGGGTCTAACCAATCACCATATTTGGCACTAGGAAGGAATTTCCCCCGGGTCTGATTGGTAGAGACCCTGCAGGGTTTTCACCTCCCACTGCAGCACAGGTCACTTGCGGGTTTGCACTAGAGTAAATGGTGGATTCTCTGTAACTTGAAATCTTTAAATCAAGACTTCACTAACTCAGCCAGGGGTTAGGGGCCTACTACAGGAGTGGGTGGGCGAGGTTCTGTGGCCTGTGATATGCAGGAGGTCAGACAAGATGATCATGATAGTCCCTTCTGGCCTGACAGTCTATGAGAGCAAGAGCTAAGGTCATTCTGCTTCTCACGGCTGCCTTGAGCCCTGCTCTGCAAGGCAGTGCAGGCAGGGACCCCATGACTCTCAGCACTCTCACACACGCTTGGTAATTCAGAGTGACAGAGGTGTTAAGGAGAGCATCAAGCATTCAGCGGTGTGCTGCTTGCACAACATGCTTCGGCAGAAATATTTGAGCTGAGCAACAAATGCACCGCGGATATCAGCATTGGCTGTGGGGCAGGGAAAAGGGATGACCAATGTTGCCTTCCCACATGAACCAGGAGATGTATCAGTCCAGGATCCTATTAGGGTTTGGCACAGAGGATGTTACATCACCTTGAGCCAGCTAGTTGGAGAATGAATTGCAGATCCTCCTGAGCTATTGTGTGGGCTCGAAGGGAAGTTCCTGCAAAGCGGTGCCCATGCCTATTGCAAGCACATGGAAGGGCCATGATCATGGAGCGCAACAGACAGAACTGAGAGGAGTTTGGTGCAGACCTACCTGGGATGTGCTGTCGACTTGCAGAAGAACAGCCAAGCCAATGCCAACGAGGAACCTGGAAGGATTCCCGGAAGGAGAAGGTTAATTTTGGCAAAACAAATCCATTGGTGCTGCACCTGCAGCATGGCTGTGTCTGTCTGTCTGCTCCATTGGCTTCCACTAAACAGGTTCAGAAGTTCTAGGGCTATTGCTATTTCTAGCAGCGTTCCCCAGGATGGCTGACACCAGTAATATATGACTCTCCACGTGTGTCTGGGGAGACTGCCTGTCACTGAGAGAGGTTTGCTATATGGGCAACTCCACAGTGAAGGTTGCGTTGAGTTTCTATTTTAAACCGGGGCTGACCCTCTGTGTGTGTATAGTCTGGGAGGGAAGATGGACTCTAAATAACTTTGATGTAACTCTAGTAAGTGGTGAGTTGCTATTCCTCTGAAATGGGCCCTTTGGGAAAACTGCCCTGGCGCGTCAGCCCACTTTCGTGTCACGCTAGCTAAAAAAGCATAGCCACACCCCCTCCTCCCCATAGACTGCAAACTGCTCTGACACAGGGCAACCACCCTGAAGGAGCAGTTTAGGGTGAACACTCAGGAGAGCAGTTTGTGGAGAGCACCATGGGGGACAACCCAGGGGACAGAGGATTAGGGGGAGCACCCTGGGGCGGAACGACAGGAATCCTGTAGAAAAATTAGTCTGTGATCATGTCATTAAAGATTGTCTCATAATGCACATGCATGAGGGGGCCAAATTAAGGTTGCATAAAGAAAGGCAACCTTCATTCTGGCATCTCCTAGCTTTTCAGAGCCTGGCTTTGCAGTCTTAATTCTTTACGCATAGCTTTTTGGGAGTAATGACCTCGAGAGCCTTGTCTGCCAGGGCTGGATAGTGCAAGGTGGAGTCAGGTGTTCACCGGGTGACAGCATGACCCAGCCCCTCGGCCTCTGCCTAGATCAGTGTCTGATTAAAGCCTTACGTTGGTGCTAGGCTAGCTGGGAAGGTGCGGAACCCCTAACCCAGTCCGATCAGAGCGCAGTACCATTCCCGATGGAACTAACAGGGCAGGAGAGATTAGCAGGCTGGCCTAAGTTAGCTGTGATGTCCCCTCACATAGACACTACTAGAAATGGACGACCTCCCCCTCCCCCGTATGGCAGGATCTTAGCAGTGGCAACTGAATGTACAACAGTGTAAAATTGCTGCTGCTACCCCAAGGGAGGTGGGGTCAGAGGAGCGGGGCGGAGGCTGGCTGCCCTATGCAATACCACTAACCATGTGGCTGGCAAGAGCTCACATTGCCGCTGCTGCTGCAGGCTCTGGGCCTCCCATCAGCTTGGCAGAGGGAGGCCAGAGGCTGAGGGAGAGCCTGGCCATGAGCTAAGCTCCATGCTGTGGGAGGTGGCAGTGTTTCTAATGAGAGCTTTCTGTCTGAAAGAGGAGAGGGGGAGCCTTTGCCATGGGTGTGGCTGTGTGTGTGCTCACACCTGCCCTTTGTAACTGCAGACTCAATGGGACGCCAGTCACCCGATCAAAGTGCTAAAGCAGCTGGCTGGGTAAGGGTGGAGGCACACCCACGGCTCAGGTACGCAGCTCCTGTCTTTGCCGTAGGAATGGCTGCAGGGCCTGCCAATGGCTGCATAGCCCGGCTGCCAGGTAGGGATGTTGGACAGCAAATAGCACTTGCCAGGATCTTGCCACTGGTTGCCGTGCAGATTCAGGGACACACATCTGGCCAGGTGCTAATGACTCTCACCACTGTTAGGGAGATGGGCCTGAGCAGCAAAGTACCCCCAGTTCAGGGCCCCTCTCAAGTTACCACCAGGGCACCTGCCTGTACATGCACCATTAGGGCGGGCAGGCCGCGATGTCCCGGGCTGGGGGTGGGCAGAGAGGCACATTCCCACTGAGCCTGGCCCCAGTGGTTGCATGGGACTGAGATCCCAGGGGGAGGGATGGTGACACGGCAATAGAGGCTGTGAGTCTCCAGGACACTGGGCACCAGCAGCTCCGGAAATCGGCAGGTAACTAAGTGCTGCTCAGCTGTCAGTATCAGCTCATCCCATCTCCCCTCCACAGACTGAGACACACACACCCCAGGAGGGCAGGTCAGGGGCATGGCAGCATGGGGGCATGGAGTCTGGTGTGAGTGGTCTTGGCTCCCTGGGCTGAGCCCCCTCCCCTCACTGGAGAGCCAAGCCCCCTGAGGGAGCAACTTCCCTGTCCCAGCATGGGTCCGGCATCACAGACCCAGAGAGGTTAGGACCAGAAGGGCCCATTCTGATCATCCTGTGTGAGCTCCTGCAAGATAGGGCTGGCTGCAGGAGTCATGGGGTGGGCTCGTGGGAGGACTGCTGTCACCCAGGCACGGTACCACCCTTTTGTGGAACCCAGCTCTAAGCAGGGCTCCAGACAAGGCAGATGTGGGCCTGGGAGACCCTGGATTAACTCAAGTGGGGCTGGAGGGGAAGGTACTGAATTAAGGTGGGGCTGGGAGTGCCTGAGCTGGCTGCTGTTCAGGCGTGGGGCTAAGGGAGGGCACAGCTGGACTCAGGGACACCCTGACACCATCCACAGGGCTGTACCCCACTGGGTGTCAGTCGATCTCAGGCGAGGGGCCGTGATCGCATCCTCTGCTGCACAGGGGGGAACTGGAGATGCTGTGACCATCACTCACACTGGGGTGGAGGGTGGGGGGTTAACAAGCAGGAGACTCCAACCCACCTGATTTCATCATTAACAAATAAATCTCCTGATTTTGGGGTCTGGCTTGTGATTTCTGAGTACTTGGGGGGGGGGGCTGCTATGGCCATGGGGGAATTATGGCTCATGGGGCCAAGGCCCCCCAGACCCGGAGCCCAGTGCACTGCCTAGCCCTGTGTGCCAGAGAGACGTCACACCTGTTGTTCCTCTTGGCCAATACAACAAAAGAACCCATTCACCAACCCAGTGGTGGCCATTCTCCAGCTGCCGTGCTCCAAACTGGTGCCACCCAGTAAGGAAGGGAAGGGTCTTACCAGGCCATGTCTGTTCTCCCTACAGCAGCACAGGCAGAGAACTCCGGTGGCTGGGGCTGATGTGCGGCGGCCACTTCCTGCCTTTTACTGTGCAGACCGTCCAGAGTCCAGGAGCTGATTACAGGCCCTGATCTGCGAGTGCTGAGCTCCCTTTGCTCCCAGGAAGGGCATGGGGGCTGGAGGTGCAGAAGCCTCTTCGCAGGCATGTAGCACCATGCAGGATCCGGCCTGCTACCCTTTGCCCCTTAGGCTGGGCTCTGCATAGGGGCCCATTCTGATCCCCATGGATATTCTCCCTGCCCTGCCTTCCCGACACCCTGAGCAGCTGCTCGCCCTTCGCTCACAGCCACTCCTTTGCAGAGTCAGCAATGCAGCACGAAGGAGTCCAAGGCAAATCTCCCAGCTGGGGAGGGCAGTGGCTGGCTCCCAAGGAGGCAGCTCTCTCTGCAGAGAGCCCTGGTTGAAATGGAAGGGTCAGAAGGGCCCACTTCGACTGTCAGACCAGCCCAGGCACAGGGAGCTCCTGCCCATGCACAGCTCCCACTCAGAACAGGACACTGGCCTGGGGATCTGTTGCGTGGCTCTAAGAGCAGAGCTGGGCCTGGGTACCTGGCTGTGTATGTGAAGACACGAGGGAGATGCAGTTTTGCTTCCATTAATTATTCCACAATTAATTTGCATCTGTTCATGAAGAGCAATTTCTCATATTACAAGAAGTGAAGTGTAGATTTTTCTGGCTGTCCAGTTAGCATTGCACACACTGCAGGGCAAGATGGGGCACTGGTTTGAAAGGGGCAACGGTCACATTGTCATAGAATAATCTGATCCAGGGGCAGGATCTGGGGATCAGGATGCGGGGGGGGGGGGGGAAGAAGATGGGGGGGGGGGGAAAGGGGGGGGAAGCAGAGGAGAAGGGGAGGGGCAGGCACCCGGGGGAGGGGATAGAAGCAGGAGTGGGGATGGGGCAGGTGCTGGGAAGATAGGAGCAGAAGGGAACTGGGGCAAAAGGGAAAGAATAGCATGTGATCATGTAATTACAGACTGTCTCATAATGCATCTGCACAAGGGGGCAGAGTTAAGGTTGCAGCGCTGGGTGGGGCTGTGTGGTTGCTAATGGGGCATGGCTGTTCCAGGTGATAGCCTGGACTGGGACCGCGGAGTCGGGATTCAGTGACCGGTCAGGGCCGCTCTTTGTTTCCTCTACTCATTTCTCCCCTCACCCCCGCCATGTGAGCATGGCTTTGCTGATTCACATGGACAGTCTTGAGGGGATGATCTAACATTCTCGGAGAGGGCCTCTCGTCACCATGGGACCGCGCATTCAAATGGACATTAGAATCCAACAAGCCACAGAGCTGGAGATGGTAAGGCCAGAGGGGACAGTTCTGCCCATCCAATCCAAGCTCCTGCCTAGCACAGGCCAGAGAGCTCCCTGACTCTGCATGGGCCGGGATACACCACGTTTGGCCCGTACATGATGCTGCTTAGCTACAGCTCTCCAAGGCGGGGAGCTTTTTAGCTGTGGCCACTAGGGGGTGTTCCCTGTCTCTGGGCGTGTAGCCCAGTATCTCGGCCCAGGCGCTCACTGGATGCTACTGAGAACTTTGGCCTCAGTGACTTGTCCAAGGTCACACAGGGAGTCAGCAGGACTGGAGACTAGGGCAAGGAATCCTGGTGTCCTGGCTCTCACGCTGATGTGCTCCCCACACCTTGCTGTGAGCACTGCAAGGCAGCTGTCCTGTGACATTTCTGCCTGCTGGGACAAATCGTTTGCAAAAGCCAGAGGTGAAAGTAAGCCGGTCTGGTCCAGTACGGTGTACCAGCAAGAGCCAGTATGCCGTGCCGGACCGCACTGGCTTCCGCAGTGGGGATTTAAAGGGCTCTGGACTCCCCGGTGGGCTCTGGACTCCCCTTTAAATCCCACCTGCAGCTCCGGCGGCTGGGCTGGGGCCGGGATTTAAAGGGCTCGGGGCTCCCCGCAGCGGCGGGAGCTCCGGGTCCTTTAAATCCTGGGCCCTTTAAATCCACGCCCGAGCCTGGCTGCTGGAGCTGCGGTGGGGATTTAAAGG